CCATGTTTAATGGATATCCATGGAAGCTTAAATGGTCTCTAAGTGTGACCTCATGCAGTGTCAAACAGGTTGAAATATAGCTGCAAGGTATACTATTGGATCGAAAAAGATCTACATTGTGACATATGTTGGTCAAAACACCTGTTTCCTTTATGTTTATTCCAACGTTAGAAAGTTGAATATATTCACATTTTGTCTTGTCTGCTGTGGCAAGCAAAAGACTTGAGGTGGGTTGAACGACCTTTTTCTTATCACGACTTTTACTATTTATTTATTTTTATATTTTAAAATACTTTATTCTCGCGAGAGCTCACCAAAGCTGTCTCTAAGTGCCAAAACTCATCGAGATTTAGCAATTTGAGTGATCAGTGGGAAACTTGACATTTCTTCAAATGAAGAACATTTTAAGCTTTTGCAAGACTCACTTAAATTATCCCGTGGGAAATGACATGTGTCAAAAATATAAAATTTAAAAACTCAACAACAATCATAAAAAAATATAACAAGGTAAGTGAATGAGATTTTCTTATTTCTTGAACGTTTTTCCCTTCAGTTTTTCCATGACGAACTCCTATCTGCTGTTTTCATGAGGCTTTATTCAGACCTTCAATTTACATTTTGGTCAGGTTTCGTGAGCGTCGTTTGCGTAGGTAGCAAGATATGACATTTTGCACGAGACAAGTTATAAGGCATCTGGTTGTAATTTTTGTTCATTGCATTTTCTTGGTCACGAAGCATAGACTTTCTGAAATGAGGTCTTATGCTTCTATTCTTTTTAAGTTTTTTGGACCAGTAAGAGAAAATAATGAGATCATTTTCGCTCGGTTAATAGAAATAGCCACTGCTATCACGGCCTCATTACAATTGACTCATATGCCAAAACGCATACAATAATAATAATGATAATAATAATGATAATAATAATAATAATAATAATAAAAATAATGATGATGATAGCTATCATTATGATAATGATAATGAAAATAATGATAACAAGTCTGATAATAGTAATAATGATAAAGCCACATCCTCAAAAGCAGGTTTAACCCTCTCCCTCGACTATCATTTTGCACTTCGGCTCATTTCCCCAATGGAAGTTTGGCAATAACTTGACAATTAATCTGTTGATGAAAAGGAAAGCTTCCATCTACTGACCGCTTTGGTTTTAAAAAAAGACGTTTTGCCTTATGCCATAGCAAACAGACGATTTTACATTTATGTAACTTTTGTACGAGGAAGTGGACGAACATCCAATGAACAGAATGCTAAACACACATTGGCTTGGAAACGCTGGCAACTTCTTCATGCTGTTACTTGTTACCAGTACTATAAGCAGCCTTTCATCCGAGGAAATGAGCAACAGATGCAATAGCAAAACTGGTTAGTAGCAACTGCATATTTGTTTACAAATCTAAAGATACATACTTGATCCACAAATCAAGTCTTTGTAATGAAGTTATTGATTGAGTCATCGTTATGATTGATTTAGGTTACCTCGAGGACCACGCTTTTAATTTTCTTAAACTTTTCCGTCTAGTGATACCTGAAATGGATATCTTCTCAAGTCCGCCAAACCACACATTAAGAGTAGGTGCAGATATTAACTTGACTTGCATAGCTTGGCCAAGGTATGACCACCGGCTTTATCCAAGGAGATGGACCAAGTATATTCAGTGGTATGATCCTCAGGGCAGATCAGTTGGAGCCAAATGCCTGCAGGGTACATCAAAAGTCATAAAGCTACGCTGCACATTAATACTCAAGAGGTTGATTATGGAACAGTTTGGAAACTACACTTGTGAGGCTCAGAATGATTATGAGGGATACTGCAGGCAAAAAGTTGTCGAAATTGAGCCGCAAGGTAGGCAAAACATATAAAGTAATCACCTCGAGAAGCAATAAGGTAATTGATGACATGAGTTAAATCGTATAATAGGGTATTGTTTGTGAGCACACATTTGCGTAGAAATTTCATAATAAAGTAAATTGGCAAATGCGGTGCCGGCATAAAGCTCATTCTAATCTGCCGGTCTTTAATCATACTGACTGACTCCAATTAAAGTTTGGCAAATCAGTGATAAGTAGAAGAGGAAAAATTTTTTATTTTCGAAACAGCATTAAAACTATAAAAGCTTAGTTTTTCGTTAGTTTCGCGATGTAGTCACGTGTGATGTAGATCTCGACGTTTCGACTGCATACTGCTAATCTTCTTCAGGCGATGAGGTCGACTGATCATGCGTGATCTTATAAAGTATGATGCTCTGCTGTGATTAATTATTATTCAAAAGCTCTGATTGGTGCATTTTGATCCTTGCTGTTCACTTAGTGATTTGCTTCCTCGGCGGTCCGCTGTCGCACGGCTCTCCTGTTGTTGTGTTTTTTGATCGTGGGCATCCACGCCTCTGGAATTTCTATTCCAGTATCCCTATTGATGTTGTCATTCATTGCTCGCGGAAACCACGAGTTATCTCATTTCCTGCTTTCATCTGTTTATTACTCTAATTCGCTCTCACCTTACGAAACAAATCGCATATCGTCTTTACAATAGCGATTTAACTGACAATAATGCAACGTTTTACCAAATGGTACCTACCTTCCTGGGATTTTTTTTTCACTTTCTCACAACCCCGCCATCTAAATCAGCTTTCTTGAAAATATTTCATATTAAAAATAATACTAAGTTAAAGTGTAAAACGTGGTGACAAGTGGTTTGTGCACTGAATTGTGCGTACTAAAAATTTGCTGCGTATTGGTATTTATCTTCCATGGACTAACCACCATATCTAAGAGACGTTAGGGTGCTCTAGTGGATAAGTAACATGGATAGAAAAAAGACAGAAGCATGAGCAAAATTGATTGGACATGATAGAACTTCTATAAGGCGTGGGCTTACTATTTCAAGATATCTTTACCGTGACGAAGGTCGCTTTATCGCTTTAGCGTTTCCTTAATTGCCTACCTTCCCCGCTTTACTTGATCTTTACTCACTGATGGCTTCTCAAATTTTGCTTTCTTTCTTCAAAAAAAATATCCATCGTCATCTGAAATTGTCGGTGTAAGCTTCCCTGGCACCAGAGATTGTTGAGGATCCTAAGAACCAAACAGTTGACGCTGGTTTCAACGCAACCTTTGACTGCGCCGCCAAAGGTCATCCCATGCCGTCTATCACATGGATAAAGAACGATGACGCACTTGCTGTACAATCTTACAACCGGAATAGAGTAGCTGAGATTTCCCTCGACGACGAGCAAATCCATAGCCAGCTGGTAATAAAGGGTATAAAGAGGGAAGATAATGGAAAATATTACTGCTTTGCAAATAACAGCGCGGGAGAAAAAGCATCAAAGCCGGCATTCTTGTCCACAAAGGATCTAGGTGAGACAAATGCTCTATGTTTCTCTATGACTAGTGGTTTTTGCACTGAATTGTGCGTACTAAAAATTTGCTGCGTATTGGTATTTATCTTCCATGGACTAACTTCCATATCTAAGAGAAGTCAGGGTGCTCTAGTGGATAAGTAACATGGATAGAAAAAAGACAGAAGCATGAGCAAAATCGATAGGACATGGTAGAACTTCTATAAGGCGTGGGCTTACTATTTCAAGATGTCTTTACCGTGACGAAGCTCTCTTATCCCTTTAGCGTTTCCTTAATTACCTACCTTCCCAGCTTCACTTGATCTTTACTCACTGGCGGCCTCTCAAATTTTGCTTTCTTTCTTCAAAAAAAAAAATCTATCGTCATCTGAAATTGCCGGTGTAAGCTTCCCTGGCACCAGAGATTGTTGAGGATCCTAAGAACCAAACTGTTGACGCTGGTTTCAACGCAACCTTTGACTGCACCGCCAAAGGTCATCCCATGCCGTCTATCACATGGATAAAGAACGATGACGCACTTGCTGTACAATCTTACAACCGGAATAGAGTAGCTGAGATTTTCCTCGACGACGAGCAAATCCATAGCCAGCTGGTAATAAAGGGTATAAAGAGGGAAGATAATGGAAAATATTACTGCTTTGCAAATAACAGCGCGGGAGAAAAAGCATCAAAGACGGCATTCTTGTCCACAAAGGATTTAGGTGAGACATATGCTCAATTTTTCTTATCTTGGCATTAAATTTTGTCATGAAACGACCATTCCTTCCGAGAGGGCGATGAAAGTACTTGAAAGAAATGCTTTCAAAAGACACTAACAGAAAGTTTTTTAGAACAGTTCACTTGAATACTGGACATATGTATCACAAAGAGCAGCGCTGAGGAAATAGCTTCCAAATCTCACGTTCCTGTTCATAAAAAGTTAGATGAGGTTGTATGTTGATACTACGCTTTGCATTCATTTTCCTTGAGGGTCAATCATGTAGCAGAACTCAGTATGGATTTTACTCTATCTAAATTGAAGAAAAACATCATTTTTGCCGACTGAGCAATTAAATGAAAGTTGAAATTTAATATTTCCTCGCTTTATGCAAATCTTAGCAGGCAGATAATCAGGTTTCAGTTTTTCACGCGATGAGACGAAACGACCAGCAGCACTATATAATGCACTTAATAGTTCCATGCAGTGTTCAATCTCACTGTTTTTTCATTGTTCTTCTTATTTCAACAAGCTTCTTCAAATACAGCCCCGCCAATAAAGGAACAACAACGTTCTGTTCCCCTGGTTACTGCACTTGGTGTGTGCGGTGGCGCAATACTTGCATTCATGAGCGGATGCATTATGGCGTTTTTGTATCGACGTGCAAGAAGAAATCATGAGGTAACACTTGTTGAGTGCAATCGAACTTTATAGCAACTAAAAGTTAACTTGATCAAACGCCCACAAAACTGTTTTCTAACTATAATCGCTGTTAAATAAAATTCGTAAGAATACTCAAAGCGGAGAATAAGCAATCGTTTTTGTTTTGAACAGTTGGGCATTTCGATCGCCAGGGCATTTGTAACGATGTCGAACTCCTTAAAACTGCTCTCAGTTGAACATGTTGCACTTCTGTCTGTATCAATATCAGGGCAATGGAGGTGAGGAAGAGATCTATGTGGCCTGCATAGATAACAAAGATTTGGCTGAGGTGATACTGAAAAATAGGAATGCTGATACGGAAGAAAGTGAGCTTTTAGACGTAAATGCTATCACTCCGTTGTTAGTTGTTAAAAATAACAATGACAATGTGCAACTAAACAATAAAAAGCATACGCATGACGACTGGAGAGTTGACTCGATACCGAGAGTATCGTCTGAGGAAAGAAGGACTCCGATTCCACTAGATGTCGGAGATAAACATTTCCTAAATTCCATCTCTGATCAAAAAGGCTATGCAGAAGAGTTGTTTAACTCACGAAATGGTCACCAAAGTGTCGAAGATGGCTGTTGTCACCGTGATGTCAACATTATTTCGTATCAAGACAGTGGGATGGATAGTGACAAAGATAGCGATGAAATACAAACATCTCTCTTCACTGAGATAGAGGAGAGCGAAAAAAACCAAGGTACTCTCGAAGTACTCGATGAGGTACTAGGTGAAGGAGAATATGGAATCGTTTACAAAGGTCGCTATGGTGGAAGGAATGGTAGCATTACTGATGTTGCAGTAAAGAAGTTGAAAGGTATGCATAAGGATCCTATTCTATTGGCTTAAATCTTTACTCAGTTATTGTTTTCTCGACAGTGTGGGGGGATCAGTAAATAAAATTCGATTATACCTATTTTTGGGACTATTGTATGTTAACCCATTGCAATCTGAATTCTTAAACGTAATATCTGTAGCAAGGTGTTTAGACTGGCAGCGTATTCTCAGTATTCTTCGTTTTCTTTGCTTTCCACGTACAACACAACGTAACTAACTAATGAATAATTATCACCTTTGTTTACTTTTTTTCTTCAGGTAATGCTTGCACACTTGGGAAAGCCGCGTTGCTGAATGAGATAAGAACGTTGAAACAGGCTGGACGACATCCCAACATTGTCAACCTAATTGGAACATGGATTCAAGGAGGTGAGACTTATTTCGACTATCCAAATAACATTCTTGCTAATCTACGCAAAAAATATGTGTTTATTCATGTAATGAAGTTTACAGGGCAGGGTAATCAGGTTGCAAGAAAACTCGATCTCGCAGAGATTCTAAAGACGAACATCTCCAAGGAACTATGCAAAGAATTATGCAAATGAGCTTTGAGACGAGCACAATTCAGCAAACACATGGATTTGTGGTGTTTTCAAGATGTTAGTGAATGAAAGTTAGACAGATACCTGCGGGTTTGAGGCAATGTGCGACTTCATTGGAGTATATGCTATGCACTGATATGCTTTTTTGCCCCGATTTACGCCTGAATTTTGAGAATTCTCTCATACAAATCGGTAAATTTTTGATATGCAAATATTAATTAAGGTCGAAGAGGTCTCCTCAGGTAACGCTGTAATGGAAAATATTTCAGGTGAAGTTTCCATCTTTTGTCTGTACACTGACTGAATACATCATACAATTTGTAGCGAGAGCGAATTCCGTGAGCTGTATTAATGCAGTCGCTTCGCACTGAAGAAAATCTGTGAAATTTACACTTTCGATCGCTGTCCACACGGGTGGTATGGCCAAAATCAATTTTAGCTTGCGACCACGCAAAAAGGGAATAGGAGAACAAATAAACTACTTTTGAAATATGTGTCCTAAACCCTTTATTATGGGCAAGTAGTGAAGGAAAACTTTTTTTCCGACGGAAAGTAGAGAGGACCGCTCTCAGCGAGAGCGCTACTTAAAATTGCAAACTCATTTTTTTGTCTTTGTCTAATCTACCAAAGGTATATGGTAACTTTTGCAAAAATGATGCCGCCAACCCGCGGTACTCCCTAACGTGCATGCTTATGGCTGGTTTGAGGCTGCTTTCTCCCGTCGTCGAGTTCCCATCAATTTGTAGCAGCAAATTTGTTCCTGATAGCCAACTTTTCTTTCCTTAGAGACAATTCTTGTCGTCACCGAATTGGTCCATGGTGGTAGCCTTGAAAGCTTTTTGAGGTGCAAGGGTGACGGAGGTAGCGAATATGCGAATGTGCACTGTAAGCTGAATGACCGACAGCTGCTTAAAATTGCTCTACATGTGGCCTTGGGAATGAAACATTTAGAAGAGCAGAAGGTTAGCCGGATCTTTTCCTAGCGAAGCTCTTGATGAAAATTTAACTCAGTTATTTACTATCCGAGAATATTTGCACGATAGAGAATCGATATGGTAACTTTTTTTTTCAGTGCATTCACCGCGACCTTGCCGCAAGAAATGTTTTTATCGATCCAAACATGGTGGCAAAAGTCGGAGACTTTGGATTAGCAAGGGAAATCACAGAGGATGGATTATACATCAAGACCTCATGCGTAAGTACTCCGCCACTAATTGTTACTTTTCTAACTACTTTTACTAATACCGACTGTATTAAATTCTTTCCCTCTAAACCAGACAGACAAATGGCCCCATATATATCCTGCCACAATTGATTTCGATTACCTTATTTATGATCTATGGTATAACTAACATTCAGACAAACGGATGGAAAATCCTCAGATTGGCGTAGTGACTTGTTGGCTTGTTCATTCCAGTTTATACAAGCTAATGTTACAAGATCATGCACACCTCCCATTTTCACAGGGTAAAGTTCCATGGAGATGGTCGTCTTTAGAATCTCTGCGAGATCGAGTTTATACATCCAAGAGCGATGTGTAAGTGACACGAAAAGTAGTATACAAAGTTGTTATATCCCCGATGCAAACGTAGAGCATCTTGGAACGAAACTGTTTTAGGATTGTTCCAAGCCAGGCTTGATCGCATTGTCTGAAAAGCCATCGTCAAAAATATGTAGTGTTCAGTGTCAAAGCATGATAATTAATGACTCTCAGACACTTTCAACTATAATTGTTGGTTGTTATTGTTTTTTTTTTTCAGCTGTAAATTTTCAAATAGAATGGGAAGGGTGGTAAGTTTTACGCTCGGTAAAAAGCTCTGATCCCCATCAGGATTCGAACCTCAGACCTGGGGGACGACCCATGGGGAATTTTTGCTTTGTCCCATGCTCGTGATAAGACGAGGAACCTCTTTCTCTATTTTCTTAACATGTGCACCCTGAAACTAAAGGTTCTAGAAATAGAAAAACCACTGAATAGCCACTTTTGAGATGTGGCCAAAAATGCGTGAAAACGTATTCCTCATCTAATGCAGCAGCACAATACCCCCAGGAAAGGATAAACTAACCTGGTTTCACTACTAATTAACGATTGTAACGATGTTGTACAGAGATTTCATATACCAAAATTACAACAAATAAAAAAAAGAAAGTGGTCAAGACTGACCAACCTTGAATGACTTAATTTTCCCGCAAAACGCTTAAATAATGCGAAACTTCCATAATGCCACGCGAATCTCTTCAACTTGTAATCAGAATATTAATTTCAGACAAATTCGTTCCCATGTCAATCAAGCGTCAGCAAGTATATACTGAACTGAAAATAAGTCATCAATCGTTGCTTTTTGGCGTGTTTTTTTTTCCTTTTTTCCGCCCATTTGAAGGTGGTCGTTTGGCATATTACTTTGGGAAATGGCAACTTATGGTAGGTCATTAAATATTTGATGAAGTAGAAATGTCATTATAAAAGTGAATGCTGACGACGGGAAAAGAGTCGGGGATGCGTATAAATTCACATTGGTTCCAGAATTCCAAAATGCTTTGTTTTATAGCCTGGGAGAGGTTTTTGAAGGGGGGAAAATTAGGCAATTTTTTGAACATTAAATAAATAGTATGTCATTCCATAAGTCAATCACGCTGGATCAAAAACATTATTTTAATAAGTTGAAATATTCTAGGAACGACAATAATATTATCAAGTTTCATTTACAATTTTGAGCTCACTGGCTATATGTCAACAGATGTGTCAGAGGGATAGACAGCTTAAAGCCACATAATCAATTAAGCTCAAGTTACTGTTGTTAGGCAAAGTCTCTTATTAGTTATTTTGCTTCACAGGTGACTCACCATACCCTGACATTCCAACACCACTTGCCTTGGTAAGTCGGCTTTCTACGGGCTACCGGATGTCACGTCCTCATCAATGCTCGGAAGAACTGTAAGCTTCTCGATCATTTTCAAGCATGTGTATTTATGTGTTTACATTTATTCTATCAGTTAACAATTTCGACATTATTCAAGTAAATAAAACCATTTCACCTGGGAGAGGAATTAATAAAGGTTTGTGTCTTTTTAGATTTGGAACTCCATCTAGGTTACATGTCGCTGTTCGATGCTCTGCAGTTTGGTTGTGTTAAGATTGTTTGAGTTGAATGAATAAATAGGTGCAAAAAAATAAATGAATGATGCAACTTATTTGTAGATATACGCTGATGAGATCTTGTTGGAACGAGAATCCTTTGATGAGACCTTCGTTTGCTGACATCGTAGATCAGCTGGAATACTTCTTGCGAGAAGTAAAGGTGAGTGAAATTGAATTTAGGCACTTCCTTCCATTCTTTCCTATTTTTATCATTTAAGTAATTAAACTCATCACCAATAGATGAGTTTGGGAACTGGTCACCCCACAATAACGCACGCTTGAGGAGGAGACCGCTGACCACATTAGCTCGCAATTTCACTTTGTCTAAATTATATTTAGCAACATTATGTTGATTCCATTTGATAAGATTACATAATATAATCTTTAAGTTTTCAAATGAGTAGACTTCTGTAGAAAAGAGTCATACGAGATCAATGAAGCAGCGACAAATATTGAAACACTCTCCATTGCACAAACGGCTATAAAAATATTTATGGCCAAATATGCTCTACAAAGGAAGACAACATAAGTAGAAGCATTTCTCAGATAAAAGGTTAGTAAGATTAAAGTGGTTCAAACGGTGCACACTGCTTTCCTAATTAACGGTATCTCACGAGTTTTTTCTCTATCTCTTTTACATCTACCGCCTTGTCACTATTTTCTTTACTATCTGCTGTTTTTATATGATTACCATTTTTT